CTTTAAAGTTCAGTTTCTGCAGATAATGTTTTTCTTCATACAACATTAATCAAGAAACGAAAGAACTAGATCCATTCAGCAAACAACGATTTGACATAGAACAAGGAAGGAACAAGAAGGATTCAAGAACACAAGTTAGAAACACATAACCTCAAGAGCACCAAGGATCTGATACCAAAAATGATGGAAGTTCTTGGAGAAGATTGATGTTTCTTCATCTTTCACCGTTCAAATCCCTTATTCTCTTGAGGTTTTTCACGCAAGCATGGATTGAAAGAGTTTCAAGCTTTAAGAAGCTTGAGGAGGCAACAACGGTGGTTCAGTTTCTCTTGAAGGAGAGAAACTTGAGGAACCTAGCACAAAAGACAAGTTCCTTTGTGAAGCTTCTAGGAGAAGGAGATTCTCCATCACATGTGAAGCTTAATTTGGGCCTTTCAAGCCCATCAGGCCCATTGGGCTTTGACTGGCCCAAACCTCCATGTCTAGCCCACTCCTCTTGGATCTTTTAGGATGTCACCTCTTGCTTTCCTAAGCATGATTCCATCATGTTGCTTTGTGAACATGAGGTTTGTGTCGTTTAACCCTCTTGCTTGTACCGGATATGATATATTAGCCCTTAGATCAGGTGTACCTAGACTCTGTTCTAGGACATCTCTAACTTCTCCCTGTGAGTGTTCACTGTGCATACTCCATGTATCTCTCAACATTACCTTAATGCCATATAGGTCAAGAGAAAAGAAAGGGATGTGTGTTTTTTTGTAAAGAGTTTGTTAAGAAAGGTTTTCAAAAATGGTTTTAGAAGCATGACTGCTAAAGTAGGCTAGTGTTTTAGGTTGATAAATAGGCGTACCGTTATAGGGGCGTTATCTTAGTGCTTAGCCTTTTCTTTGAAGCTTAAGTGATGACTTGGGGTTATGCTTTGATTGAATGATCCCCCTTGAGTCATCTTTCAGTTTTCAACTCGGGTTACTGCTTTAGCGTCCTTAATTTTTCCTAGGTTACCTATGATAGGTTCCTTAGAGGACATTTTATTTTTGATCCTTACTTTTGCCCAAGTTACCCTTTTTTTGCTTGTGGGTCTCTTAGCAGACCTTGCCCTAAACTTTTGCGCAGCCCCCTTAGTGGGTTTCTTGCTGAGCTTCTATCTTTGCAACATTCGTTTGAGATGTAGGATGCCTTCTTAGTTTGATTTTAGTAAACCCCAATCATGTTTGAGTTGTGTGATCATTCCTTTGTTACGCTTTCCAATTTTAGTGTATGTTAGGCTCTCATCCGAGTGACGTCCCTATTCCAAATACACTTTGTTTATTGTGGGTTAATTAGTGAGGCTTAGATTAAATGTTTGAAGAGAGAAAAGAAATGAGATAGAGAAAAAGTATGGCATTAAAATAATATTTTGATTTACACGTGTCCTTTTAATGTAGCTCGAGGACCTGGACATGCCCTGAGTTCGTGATTTGTACACAAAGAAAAGAAGAGAGAATTCCCCTTAGAGTGGTTCGATACAATTGAGCCTTCTTCTGATGCCAAGATTTTGAAAGCTCTTATGAAAAGGGAGATGTCTCAACTTTTCCTCCCTTGAAGATGTGGTTGGCTTATATCCTGAATCTTGTCGCCTTAGGTTACCTCGGAAGTTCGATAGCTTAGTCACTTCTTGAACATTTCTACCATGCCTTTGTCTTGGTTGGTATCCCTTTTCAAACAGCACCTATGATACTAAACATCCATTGCTTGAGACCCTATTAATGCGAGTGATCCCTAGGGTTTCCTCTAGTGTATTCATGTAAGAGATGGAGAATAGCTTGTTGGTGAGTAGTTCTTCCTTAGCTTGAATCTGCCTTTTTCTTGCCATCCTCTACAAGCTTGACGCTTGATGCATTCACAAATTTTCCTTGGAGGCAACTATAGTGGAGCTCGGAATAGAACTTTCACGAAGTCTTGCTTCTTAGAAAGAATACTCGAGTCACCTTTCAATTTTCAACTCGAGCAGATGTTGCTTTTTTTTCTTATTATTTTATCTCTGACTTTTGCATAGGACGTATTCTATTGAGATTTTGACTCTTTTACTTACCCTAATTTTTTCCTAGAACACCCTTTACGGGTGTTCGTTCTAATGGGCTTTTAGCAATGCCTTTAACTATAATGCTTTTTCTCTATCTTGGACTAATCTTTAGAAATATTTATTGACTCCACCTCGCGCATTTGAGAAGTTCATCCTCCTCCTCAAGTTCTTTTTCTTTCTTCTTTGGACTCCTTCTCTTTGGAGATTTTATCTTGTAGCTTACTAGGAGTGCGGATCCATACACTCCTAGTTATTCATTCTATCCTGGTGATGTCGGATAGGTCTTCGCTTAATGACACCTTGATTCCGTAGACCCGTGCCACAACTTTATCCTTGTTGTATGGGGAAAGGCTTGATGCCTTGATAGTTAACTATTTCGGCATTCCTTTCCCATTACCTACTTGGATTGTGATTGGTTTAGCCTTAAACATGCCCCACTCCAAACTGCTTGCGGGTTTGATTACCAATATCATACTTTGCATAATTAACATTATTGTGCTTAAATAGTCTTATAATTTACTATTTTTTTTATTTAGGCACTTACAAAATTATTATTTTTAAATAGTCTTTATAAAAATTTTCTTTTTTATTTTGATCCTTGTATTTTGTTTGTCCTTCTAATTTCTTTTTATTTTTATGATTATAATAGGTGAATAATTTGCTTTTAGTTCCTACATTTTTTTTTTTTGCAAAAGACTACATAAAAAATATAAATATAGACTAAAATAAAAAATTACATTAACCAAAATATATTTAAAACTAATAATTTTAATGATTAAATGGGTGTTTTTACTGTCTGCTTATATCTTGATCTTTAAATTGCTTGTATTTATGATGAGTAAATTTTTTTATTGCGTATCTACATACGTACAACATTAAATATATCATGTTAATTATTTTAAAAATACATTTTACTTTTGTTTTAGATATAATAAATATTTCAAAAATATATGTTTTTGCACGACAAAAAAATAGTTGCTCGCGCGCAGTTCACCTCCTTCTCCGCCGTTCGTCAAGAAAAAGGACAACAATAGTAATAATAAAATCTTTGTGCGTCTAACTGAGACGCACAAAAGGAAAACGAGAGTCAACCGTCAACCGCACAGATTTGCTACCTTTCTGTCCATTCGTTTTCTCTCTCTCTCCCACACGACCTCTTCAACTCCCAACTGATGTTTTTTTAGAAAACGAGTCTAAAGAGAAAACGCAAAAACAACCAAAAACCATCGATACCAAACAAGAAGCAATTAAGGGGAAAAAATTAAAAAAAAAACACACACACACAAAACGGATAATTTCCAATGCTATCTCGCCATTTATCATTCTGAGAGGCCTTATTTTCGCTCTTTGTTTTCTCTGAGGGAAACTAAACCAAACCGTAATCCCAACATTCACAATGGAGAAGAACCTTGCCGAACACTCTGGCAGTTTCGCTCGCAAAGCCGACGACGACACCGGCAACGCCACTCATTCGCCGGTGCCGGAGTCCGCCGATAATTTCGATGCCAAACCGGACACCGGCGAAACCGAGAAAGCTGCGGATTCAGATCACGTTCATGGAGAACAAGAAGCCAAGGAGAATAAGAATGAGAATGAGAATGAGAAGGAGAAAGAGAAGGAGGAAAAGAAGGAAGAAGAAAAAGAAGAAAAAGAAGAAAAAGAAGAAGAAAACGTGGAGGCTCAACCGGAATCTCCCCCTCCGAGTCTCGAGAAGGTTTCAGAAGACATCGACCAATTCCTCGTGACTCTGCAAAACAACAACAAAGACGACACCAAATTGGAGATCCCTAAATGTGTAATCACATTCTTGGATCTCGTGGAGCAGAAGATAACAAAGTACGACACCGCCGAGGCCAAATGGGGAGAATCAGCGGAAGAAGATTCGTTGTTTCTGGAATCCGTGAATCGCGTTTCGAATCTGATGAAACATTTAACGGAGTATATCCAATCTCATCGCGAGAAAGAGCAAGAGGACGAGGAAAAGGTGAAGGTAGACTTGATGATAAACGGCATCGGCTCGATTCAGCAGCGTGCGATGTCGTTTCTGGAGGAGGAGTTCCGCTCCCTAATGGAAGAATCTAGAAACCCGAACAAAGCAGACCCGAAAGGAAAGCAACACGTGGCGGAAGCGTTGGAGTCCGAGACTCCAACTGAAACGGTTATGGATTTCCCGGGTTTCGCGGAGGAAACGGTTACGAAGCTACGCCAAATCGCCAAGGAAATGACAGCAGGCGGTTACGAAAATGAGTGCTGCCAGGTTTACGCAGTTTCGCGGAGGCACGCGTTCGAAGAGGGGTTGTACAAGATTTTAGGTTACGAGAAGCTCAGCATCGACGAGGCGCAGAGAATGCCGTGGGAGACACTGGAGCGGGAGATTCCCACGTGGATCAACACGTGGAAGGAATGCACCTCGGTGTGGTTCCCCGGCGAGCGGAAGCTCGCCGAGGCGGTGTTCGCGGAGGAGACGACGGCGGACTCCGCGGCGTGCCTCTACGGCAACCTCTTCCGCAGCATCGCGATTCAGCTGGTGAACTTCGCGGAGAGCGTGGCCATGACGAAGCGCGCGGGAGAGAAACTCTTCAAGCTCCTGGACATGTACGAGACCTTGCGAGACGCGATTCCGAGCATGGAGAATCTCTTCCCCGACGACATGGCCGCGGAAGTGAAGACCGAAACGACGTCGGCGAAGTGCCGCCTCGGCGAGGGAGCGGTGTTGATATTCTGCGACCTGGAGAATTCGATCAAGTCGGAGACCGGGAGAACTCCGGTGGCCGGCGGCGCGGTGCACCCGCTCACGCGCTACATCATGAACTACCTGAGGCTAGCGTGTGAATACAAAGACACGTTGGAGGAGGTGTTCAAAGAACACTCCAAAATGGAGCGCGCGGATTCAACAAGCAGGCCTCACTACGAGAGAGAGGAAGACAAACACAAGAACAATGCACAGAAAGATAACGTGTCACCTTTCGCGGCGCAGTTGATGAGGGTGATGGAGCTTCTGGACTCGAACCTCGAAGGAAAGGCGAAGCTGTACAAAGAAGTTGCATTAAGCTGCATTTTCATGATGAACAACGGAAGGTACATAGTTCAGAAAATAAAAGGTTCTGCGGAGATCTACGAAGTGATGGGGGAAACGTGGTGTCGTAAGAGATCGACGGAGCTGAGGACCTACCACAAGACTTACCAGTTAGAGACGTGGAGTAAGATTCTGAGTTGTCTGAGTCTGAAGGGTTTGAATGATAACGGGAAGGTGCAGAAGCCGGTGCTGAAGGAACGGTTCAAGAGCTTCAACGCGTTGTTTGAGGAGATCCACAAGACGCAGAGCGCGTGGGTGGTGAGCGACGAACAGCTTCAATCGGAACTTAGGGCTTCAATTTCTACGCTGGTGATTCCTGCGTACAGGTCCTTCTTGGGTAGGTTTTCGCAGTACTTGGATCCGGGGAGACAAACGGAGAAGTATATTAAGTACCAGGGTGAGGATGTAGAGACTTGCATTGACGAGTTGTTCGATGGGAACCCTCACGGGCGCCGCTAGAGACCAAGGGAGAACAAGAGTTTAATCGAGTGTGCTAGGTTCTGTCACTGATGAGGAATTGTGGAAGAAGATTGGTCGTGCCATGCATTGCACTCAAGCTTTTCCTTAATTTTGGTGCTTCTGTCTGTCAGCAAGAGGCCGAATTGGGTCGTTTGACTGTAATATTATCACTATTATCACCTTTCTTTTCAATACAGGATTCGGTTAGTGTTAAGGGTGAATTCTTTTCTTGTATTTAAATTTTCAACTCACCCTCACCTTTTGTGTTTTATACTTAATTTTAATTCTCAATTGACTTTGTATAACTAATTTTTCCTCTCTAGATATTTGTTCTTGCTTCTTAATTTTATTTTTGCCCTCAAAACAAAAGTTAACTCTACGTGAATGTGATTAGACTTTTATCGTATTTATATATATATATATATATATATATATATATGAATATTAAAAAGTATAGTCAAGACGGAAAGAGTAGAATCTAAACAATCAGTCTAAACAATTAAAAATGTATTAAAATTAGTATAGAAAAACGTTATCAGTTTTTTTTACTGTCTTAATTGTTTATTTATTACTTGTGGTATGTGTTATGTTGATACAGGAGTTGCTTCCTTATGGAGCCACTGTAGTTTCCGGAATTTAACTAATTAGATCAAGTAATTGTTATAAATCCATATCTATCTTGATTTGAAATGAGGCGGTATGTGACTCACTACTAAATAAAAATAAATATTAAAAATAATAAGATGAGAGAAGGGAATTTTATAAGCAATGAGATGTTTTAATTTTTGTTTTGGTTACGTGAGAAATTTGAACTAATGAAACAAAGTATGAAATAGTTTTCAAATTTTTAAAAAATTTGTCGACTTGATCTATGCATTAAGAACTTTAAATTCAATGGTTAGATTCTTAAAATTTGATGTAAAACATGAGTTGTTGAACGAGAGTTGTTAAATGGAGTAAGCTTAGGTATATTTACTCTTGGAGTAAATAAATCCCTCTCTCTCTCTCTTTATATATATATAAGGGGGTTATAATTACACCGGTGTAACTTTTACTAAGTATTACACCGCTTAATAACTTTATATTAAATGTGAATTTTGTAAATTCAACCGTTAGATTGAAAGTTCATATCACTTTATACGTGTATATCAAATTTTGTTAAAATTGAAAAATAACTTGAAGGTAATCAAAGTGTTCATATTTTAGTGTATTTTGAAATGAATATATTACGTCAATTTTGTTTTTTAAAAATGAAGTATCAAATCATCTTTGATTAATATAAATTTTTTTACATATGATCTAAGCGATGTTAACTTTCAATCTAACGATTGGATTTACAAAATTCACATTTAACATAAAGTTATTGAGCAGTATAATATTTAGTAAAAGTTACACCCGTGTAATTATAACCCCTATATATATATATAGAGGAGGGTTCAAACGACACCGGTGTAACTTTTACTAAGTGTTACACCGCTCAATAACTTTATATTAAATGTGAATTTTGTAAATTCAACCGTTAGATGGAAAGTTCATATCTCTTAGATCATATATGTCAAATTTTGTTAAAATTGAACAACAACTTGAAGGTAATCAAAGTGTTCATATTTTAGTATATTTTGAAATGTATATATTACGTCAATTTTGTTTTATGAGAATGAAGTATCAAATCATCTTAGATTAATATAAAATTTGATATATATGATCTAAGAGATATGAACTTTCAATCTAACGGTTGGATTTTCTTGGTTGGCTGGTAACTTATGCTTTCAACTGTAAATTACCACCTAACCTGGATTAAGAGGATTGATGAATTTTATATATATATATATATATATATATATATATATATTATCGTCCATCTTTAATGGAAAATCCTAGCGAAGAAGATTGATGTTCTTCATTCTTGATTTGCACGACCGCTTGATCTTCTCTTTGAGGATGAATAGACGATGATTCCAACAAGGGAAGAAGGATGATCATCCGAACCAAACAAAGGAGGGAAGCACCTTGGCCAAAGTGAGTAAAGGATTACTCACAAAAAGGAACTTAAGCCTAGAGAAATTCCTAGAATTAGGAGTGTTCAAATTGGTAAACTAAACTAAACTAGAAGAAAACTAAACTAAACTAT